CCACACCAGGCTAATTTTTTGTATTTTTAGTAGAGACGGGGTTTCACCATGTTAGGCAGGATAGTCTCAATCTCCTGACCTCGTGATCCGCCCACCTCGGGCTCCGAAAGTGCTGGGATTACAGGCGTGAGCCACTGCGCCTGGCCTGGCCTGTTCTTTTTTGAGACAGTCTTCCTCTGTCACCCAGGCTGGAGTAAAGTGGTACAATCATGGCTCACTGCAGCCTCGACCTCCTGGGTTCAAGTGATCCTCCCACCTCAGCCTCCCGAATAGCTGGGACTACAGGCATGTACACCACATCTGGCTGATCTTTTATAGAAATGTTTCTATGTTGCCCAGGCTAGTCTCGACATCCTGGACTCAAGTGATCCTCCTGCCTCAGCCTCCCAAAGTGCTGAGATTACAGGTGTGAGCCACCATGGCCAGCCTAGTACTTACTCTTTATTTATTTTTTTTGAGACAGAGTCTCACTCTGTCACCCAGGCTGGAGTGCAGTGGCGTAATCTCAGCTCACTGCAACCTCTGCCACCCAGGTTCAAGCGATTTTCCTGCCTCAGCCTCCCAAGTAGCTGGGATTACAGGCACCTGCCACCATGCCCAGCTAATTTTTGTATTTTTAGTAGAGACGGGGTTTCACCATCTTGGCCAGACTGGTCTTGAACTCCTGACCTCGTGATTCACCCACCTCGGCCTCCCAAAGTGCTGGGATTACAGGCATGAGCCACACGTCCAGCCCATGAGCCACCACACCTGACCAGTATTTACTCTTTAAACTGTATATTGCTTTGTATTGTTTTCCAATACACAATTCAATCCCCAAGCTTATCTGTAAATTTAAGGCACAAGGCATTTATTTATCGTTAAATTTTAAAATTTGTCTTAGAGATGGGGTCTTGCTCTACTGCCCTGGCTAGAGTGCAATGGAGTAATCACTGCTCACTGAAGCCTCAAACTCCTAGGCTCAAGCAATCCTCCCTCCTCAGCCTCCCAAAGTGCTGGGATTACAGGCGTGAGCCACTGCACCCCACCCATTTATTTCTTTTGTTTGTTTGAGACAGAGCCTCGCTCTGTCACCCAGGCTGGAGTGTAGTGGCGTGATCTCGGCTCACTGCAAGCTCTGCCTCCCAGGTTCACGCCATTCTCCTGCCTCAGCCTCCAAAGTAGCTGGGACTACAGGCGCCTGCCAACACGCCTGGCTAATTTTTTGTATTTTTAGTAGAGAGGGGGTTTCACCGTGTTAGCCAGGATGGTCTTGATCTCCTGACCTCGTGATCCGCCCACTTCAGCCTCCCAAAGTGCTGAGATTACAGGCGTGAGCCACCGCACCCGGCCATTTATTTCTTCTGTACATATTCCACCTCACCCAGCCCTCAAATATTTCTCAAATTAAAGAGGTTCCAGGGCCCTGGGCACACCCACCTCCAACAGACTTGTTGGAACAGGTACCTACCTCAGGTCATTCTTGAGTTCCACGACCACATCCTTGCCCACAAGGGACTTGAAAAAAGAATAGAAGAGCTATTGGGAGAGAGGGGGAAAACCATCATGTGGGAAGGAACATGGTAGGGAGGAGTGTCCCTTGACAGTATTACCAAATACCGGTATTGTGAACCCCATTGCATCCCTGACAGTTCTCAAAATTTCACAGGAAAGAATAATTGGTTGAGAGGTGAAAGGCTGGAGCCCAAATTATTCTGCACACTGCATTGAGCCCATCACTTAAAGTCCCAGAGAGGCTCTGCCCTGCATACCTCGGCCTCCCCAGTGTGCTCTCTCAATCGACCACCTTTCTCGGGTACCTGCCCACTGCTTTCAATGAATTACAGAAAACATCCCACCCGCACTCTGCCGAAGCTTGCCTGGCAGAGAAGTGCTCTAAGGTCTAACTTTTCCATCTCCCGCTGTCCCCACTGAATCTCTCTCAGGGTTGGGTTTTTTTTTTCCTCATCATGGAAAAAAAAATCCCATTTGCTCTCAGGTGTCTCCTCAACGAACTTGAGGAACAGGACTAACGATGAAGATAAAAACTCCGGACCTAACTCCAGCCTAGGGGGACAAAGGCCAGACCCCCCTGCCCCAACCGTCCGAGATCCCCGTGGGCGCCCCCTTTTGACGTCACGGTACCCACCATGGTGCTGCGCAGCGGGCACCGGGCCGGAGCGAGAAGAGAGCCGGATGCTGAGAGCAGGTCTGGGGGAACCGAAGCGCGAGCCCGCGCGTGGGGCGAGGCGGGACCGCGCAGGCGCAGCGGGAAGGGACGCAGAACCCTCTAAGCGCTGAAGGGTAAAGCGCCGCCGACTTGCGGCTGGGGAGCGCAAGCTGGGTAAAACCGAGGGGAGGAGGAAGCCGGGAAAGGGGCGGGGTTTCCTTCGTTCCGACTTCTTCCAGGGCCGACCGACTCCCATTGCGCAGGCGCGGACCCTAGCCTGGGCTGCTAGGCGGGTGGAAGCACTCAGCGCCTGAGCTCAAAGGATTTTGTTCTTTTCCATAACCCTGCCGTCCACAGCTTGATGTGTTCGTGCCCTCTACACACATCCTATCGAGAATTGTGGGGAGTTTGTGAAGATTATGAAGTGTGCACTTTTCTATATTTGTTAAAGTAAAAACATAAAATTCAAAAAATAAAATTAAAAAATGTTTTTAATCTTAAATTCAGCTGATAAAAAAAAAAGGCTGAGGGCGGTGGCTCACGCCTTCAATCCCAGCACTCTAGGAGGCCAAGGTGGATGGATTGTGTGAGGTCAGGAGTTCGAGACCAGTCTAGCCAACATGGTGAAGTCCCATCTTCACTAAAAATACAAAAAAAATTAGCCAGGCGTGGTCGCGGGCGCCTGTAATCCCAGCTACTGGGGAGGCTGAGGAAGGAGAATCGCGTGAACCCGGGAGGCAGAGGTTGCAGGGAGCCAAGATCATGCCACTGCACTGCAGCCTGGGCGACAGAGCGAGACTCGTCTCAAAAAAAAAATTGACCGGGCGCAGTGGCTGATGCCTATAATCCCGCACATTGGGAGGCCAAGGCAAGTGGATCACCTGAGGTCAGGAGTTCGAGACCAGCGTGGCCAACATGGCGAAATCCTGTCTCTACTAAAAACCCAAAAATTAGCCGGGTGTGGTGGCACGCGCCTGTAAACTCGGGAGGTATAGGTTGCAGTGAGTGGAGATCGTGCCATTGCACTGCAGCCTGGGCAACAACAGTGAAACTCTTGTCTCAAAACAACAACAACAAAAAAATGTTGAGGCCTGTAAATCCCAGCATTTTGGGAGGCTGAGGCAGGAGGATCATTTGAACCCAAGAGTTATAGTGAGCTACGATCTCCCCACTGCATTCCAGCCTGGGCAACAGAGGGAGACTGTGTCTATAAAAAAGAAAATTATAAAAAACAAAAAAATGTTGAGGAGTCCCAGAGATAAGAAGGAGCTGGAGCACAAATTTTGGTTTTATCAAAGGTTACCAATAAATATATTTCTCCAAAGGAGCCAACCTCAATCTCCATATTTCTTACACACTTTTGCCAAGACTGTCCTGTAAAGGACTGAGTAAAAATAAAGAGACTGTGGCTTACAGATGCAAATAACCCAGTCTAACATTTCACTGCCAAATGTTTCAAACACGGACAGAAATGCACAGTTACATATCATTCTAACTCATGTCCCCCAGGTTTTTATAAATGTGTATTAGGACACAGGTAAAAGAAAACAATTTTTTTTGAGATGCAGTCTTGCTCTGTCATCAGGCTGGAGTGCGGTGCCACGATCTCAGCTCACTGCAACCTCCACAACCCAGGTTCAAGCAATTCCTCTGCCTCACCCTCCTGAGTAGCTGGGACTACAGGCGTGCACCACCATGCTCAGCTAATTTTTGTATTTTTAGTAGTGACGAGGTTTCACCATGTTGGGCAGGATGGTCTCGATCTCTTGACCTCATGATCCGCCCGCCTCGGCCTCCCAAAGTGCTGGGATAACAGGTGTGAGCCACTGCACCCGGCCGGTAAAAGTATTTTTTCATGCACTAAGACTTCATAAACTTATATTTGTCATCTTGCATAGAAGTATTTATTTGTCAAGAGTTTGTTATAGAAATATTTTCTGGGGCTAGGCATGGTGGCTCACACCTATAATCCCAGCACTTTAGGAGGCTGAGGTGGGTGTATCACCTAGGTCAGGAGTTCAGAACAGCCTGGTCAACATGGTGAAATCCCCTCTCTACTAAAAACACAAACATTAGCTGAGTGTAGTGGTGAGGGCCTGTAATCCCAGCTACTCAGGAGGCTGAGGCAGAAGAATTGCTTGAATCCGGGAGGCGAAGGTTATAGTGAGCCAAGGTCGTGCCATTGCACTCCAGCCTGGGTGACAAGAGCGAAACTCTGTCTCCAAAAAAAAAAAAAAAAGAAAGAAAGAAAAGAAATATTTTCTCCATATAATGAATGTAAACAATGAACTCTGTGAGTGCACAGATGCTGAACCTCCTGGACCTTACCTATACATCAGGACATCAAGCAGGATTTGTCCCTCCACCCCAAGCTGAGTCCTAAACACCAAAACCAGCCTGTAACTGATTAAAAGCAGTTATAGTTTACAATCTGTTTCATCTGTGCTAAAGGTATCTGAGGATCAAAAATTATGTGCTGATTGAAACAATGAGTTCATGGGCCGGGCGCGGTGGCTCACGTCTGTAATCCCAGCACTTTGGGAGGCCGAGGTGGGCAGATTCTGAGGTCAGGAGATTGAGACCATCCTGGCTAACATGGTGAAACCCCATCTCTACTAAAACAATACAAAAAATTAGCCGGGCATGGTGGTGGACGCCTGCAGTCCCAGCTACTCGGGAGGCTGAGGCAGGAGAATGGCATGAACCCGGGAAGCGGAGCTTGCAGTGAGCCGAGATTGTGCCACTGTACTCCAGCCTGGGTGACAGGGCAAGACTTCGTCTCAAAAAAAAAAAAAAAAAAAGAAAAGAAAAGAAAAGAAAAAAAACCCCGATGAGTTCATGAAAATTCAAATACTTTACCTTACCAATTTAATCATTCACAGTGAGCTCACAATCAGAGAACACATGCTCTCTCCATGAACTCTCCCCTTCGAGGTACATTCACAGCCTAAATACCAGAAGTAATTTCCTTTAGGAACAAATTTACTGATTGACAAATAAGCATCCACACAGGAAGAAGAATGTTAGGGTGGCTGGAAATAACAGACATTCAAATACATCACACGGTTTAAAGAGGGGCCTAGTTTTCCTGAGTCCATTCCAGAGTCAGAAACAGGATATGAGGGAGTGTGATAGGTGGTGCATGAGACTCCTCCTCCAGAATTCCCAAGGGATGGTAACTTAGGTTCAGGTCTGGTCAAGAATAATAATGATGTTTGAAGATGAGGGGAATGAAATACACGTAGAGGCATCCTAGGATGCTTCAGTTCCAAAAAGAATTAATCTACTTCTTCAATTGTGGGGCCTGTGGCAGGCCTTCCAGGCGCATACCCTGTTCCACAGGCAGGCCCAGTGCATCCTCCCTGGTAGAGTTTTGTGATGATGGGGTTACACATCTGCTCCAATTCCTTTCTCTTATGATCAAACTCATCTTTCTCTGCCAGTTGATTGGCCTCCAGCCACGAAAGAAGTTCATTGCATTTATCCAGTATTTTCTTTTTATCAGACTCACTGATCTTGCCCTTCAAACCTTCATCACTCACAACACTCTTCATGTTAAAAGCATAGGACTCTAAGGCATTCTTTGCAGCAATTTTCTCCCTCTGGACCTCATCTTCAGCTTTATATTTCTCAGCATCCAGAACCATGCGCTCAATCTCCTCCTTGCTCAGGCGGCCCTTGTCATTGGTGATGGTGATCTTGTTGGCCTTCCCTGTGCTCTTGTCCATGGCTGTGACATTGAGAATACCATTGGCATCAATGTCAAACGTCACCTCGATCTGAGGAACTCCCCTGGGTGCTGGAGGGATTCCAGTCAGGTCAAAGCGCCCTAGCAGGTTGTTGTCCTTCGTCATGGCCCTCTCACCTTCGTATACCTGGATCAGCACCCCGGGTTGGTTGTCGGAGTAGGTGGTGAAGATCTGTGTCTGCTTGGTGGGGATGGTGGAGTTACGCTTGATCAGGGCAGTCATCACACCCCCGGCCGTCTCCAGCCCCAGGGACAGGGGAGCCACGTCCAGCAGCAGCAGGTCCTGCACCTTCTCAGACTTGTCCCCCATCAGGATGGCCGCCTGTACCGCAGCCCCATATGCTACTGCCTCATCAGGGTTGATGCTCTTGTTGAGATCACGTCCATTAAAGTAGTCCTGAAGCAGCCGCTGCACCTTGGGGATGCGGGTGGAGCCCCCTACTAAAACAATGTCATGGATTTTAGCCTTATCCATCTTGGCATCCCGAAGTGCTTTTTCTACAGGCTCCAGGGTACCCCTAAAAAGGTCTGCACACAACTCTTCAAATCGAGCTCTGGTGATGGATGTGTAGAAGTCAATGCCTTCATAAAGTGAATCAATTTCTAGGTTGGCCTGGGTGCTGGACGACAGGGTCCTCTTGGCCCTCTCGCAGGCGGTGCGCAGCCGCCTCACGGCTCGCTTGTTCTGGCTGATGTCCTTCTTGTGCTTCCGCTTGAACTCCTCCACGAAGTGGCTCACAAGCCTATTGTCAAAGTCCTCCCCACCCAGGTGAGTGTCCCCAGCAGTGGCCTTTACCTCAAAAATCCCATCATCTATGGTCAGAATTGACACATCAAATGTGCCTCCACCCAGATCAAAAATCAGAACATGTTGTTCTCCTCGACCTCCTTTATCTAAACCATAGGCAATGGCAGCAGCTGTGGGCTCATTGATGATTCGTAGCACATTAAGTCCAGCAATCACACCTGCATCCTTAGTAGCCTGACGTTGAGAGTCATTGAAATAAGCTGGCACGGTAATCACTGCATTGGTGACAGGGTGGCCCAAAAATGCCTCAGCAGTCTCTTTCATCTTAGTCAGTACCATCGAAGAGATTTCCTCAGGATAGAAAGCTTTATTCTCCCCTTTGTAGGACACAAGCACTTTGGGCTTGCCTCCTTCATTAATCACTTGAAAAGGCCAAAGTTTCATATCTGATTGCACAACAGGATCATTAAATTTCCTGCCGATCAGACGTTTGGCATCAAAAACAGTGTTCTGGGGATTCATGGCTACCTGGTTCTTGGCCGCATCCCCGATGAGCCGCTCGGTGTCTGTGAAGGCCACGTAGCTGGGGGTGGTGCGGTTGCCCTGGTCGTTGGCAATGATCTCCACCTTGCCGTGCTGGAACACCCCCACACAGGAGTAGGTGGTGCCCAGGTCGATACCTATGGCAATCCCCTTGGCAGCAGCCATGGTTCTCTGAGGCCTATGGAGAAAGAATGAGATACTGTTTTGGCAGAATGCTTTTCAATGTTATTTATTTTTTTGAGACAGGGTCTTCCTCTGTCACCCAGGTTGGAGTGCAGAGGCGCAGTCATAGCTCACTGCAGCTTTGATCTCCTGGGCTCCAGCAGTCTTCCTGCCTCAGCCTCCAGAGTAACTGGAGACATCATACCTGGCTCATTTTTTTTTTTTTTTTTTTTTGAGATGGAGTCTCACTTTGTCATCCAGGCTGGACTGCAGTGGCATGATCTAGGCTCACTGCAACCTCCACCTCCTGAGTTCAAGCAATTCTCCTGTCTCAGCTTCCCGAGTGGCTGGGATTATGGGGGTGCCACCACGCCTGGCTAATTTTTGTATTTTTAGTAGATATGGGGTTTCATGGTTTCACTGTGTTGGCCAGGCTGGTCTTGAACTCCTGACCTCAGGTGATCCACCCGCCTCGGCCTCCCAAAGTGCTGGGATTACAGGTGTGAGCCATGGTGACCAGCCCTCTGCCTGGCTACTTTTTAAATTTTGTGTACAGATGGGGTCTCACTGTGTTGCTTAGGCTGGTCTCAAACTCATGGGCTCAAACCATCCTTCAGCCTCAACCTCCCCAAGTACTGGGATTACAGGAGTGAACATCTCGTCCAGCCTATTTTTTATTTTTTATTGTGGTAAAATACACACAAATTGTACCATCTTAACCATTTTTAAGTGTAGAGTTTGGTAGTGAGTTCAATCACAGTGGTGATTGAAATCAGTCAACCGATTTCCAATATTCTGTTCATCTCGCAAAACTGAAACTGTATACTCATTAAGCAACTCCCGTTTTCCCCTCCCTTTAGCCCCTGGTAACTACCATTCTTTTTTCTCATTTTTTTTAGAGACAGGGTCTCATTTTGTCACACAGGCTGCACTACAGTGGTGTGATCATGGTTCACTGCAGTCTTGACCTCCCAGGCTCATGGGATCCTTTTGTCTCAGCCTCCCAAGTACCTGGGACCACAGGTGAATGCCACTACACCCAGTTATTTTTTTATTTTTTTGTAGAGACAGGGTCTCCCTATGTTGCCCAAGCTAGTTTCTCACTCCTGGGCTCAAGGAAACCTCCCACCTCCACATTACCAAGTGTTGGGATTATAGGCTCGAGCCAAGGCACCTGACCTCTTTTTTCTATCTCTATGAATTTGACTACTCTTGTAACTTCATATAAGTGGAATTATACAGTATTTGTCCTTTTGTGACTTCGCTTATTTCACTTAGCTTATGTGCACAGGTTTCATCCATGTTGTAACATGTCAGAATTTCCTTCCTAAGGCTGAGTAATATTCACAATATTTATATACAACTTCATTTCTGTTTTTGTTTTGAGACAGAGTCTCACTCTGTTGCCCAGGCTGGAGTGCAGTGGCGCGATCTTGACTCACTGCAACCTCCACCTTCTGGGTTCAAGCTAATTCTCCTGCCTCAGCCTCCCGAGGAGCTGGGACTACAGGCGTGCACTGCCACACCCCAATAATTTTTGTATTTTTAGTACAGAGTTTCACCATGTTGGCGAGGCTGGTCTCAAACTCCTAACCTTAAATGATCCGCCCGCCTCGGTCTCCCAAAGTTCTGGGATTACAGGCATGAGCCACCGCACCCGGCCTATATACCACATTTTGCTTATGCATCTCTCGATGGACACAGGTTACAGAATAATGTTGCTATGAACAAGCCTATACAAATACATGGAGACGCTACTGTCATGGCAGAGTGCTTTTTGGACAGGGTAAAGTATTCTCAGCTACTCAAAGGAGTTTGGAAGCAAGTAGCTGTATATTGTTTTCAATTTCCCAAGTGACCTAATTCTACTGTCCTGTTCCTGTGTCTGTCATATATTTTATTGTGGGACTCTGTCTCTTTATGACCCAAGAGTAGTGTACATTCTGGTCTCTTGAAGAGACATCAGCCTCCACACTTGAGTTCTGCTGCCTTCCGGGGATACTATTCTCTACTAGGGGTTCATAGGCAGTCAATTCCAGTCAGCCTGAAGATGACTGCTAGAAACTCACAAGCCCGCGAGTTTTCTCAAAAGACATGCGGTCCAGACAGTATCTCTATCCTTCTCCTAAAGAAAACCCCTGTTTTCTGGAGTCAATAACTAATCAATAAAGGGTTTAAGGGCCGGGCGCGGTGGCTCACGCCTGTTATCCCAGCACTTTGGGAGGCCGAGGCGGGCAGATTACGAGGTCAGCAGATCGAGACCATCCTGGCTAACACGGTGAAACCCCGTCTCTATTAAAAAAAGAAAAAATTAGCCGGGCGTGGTGGCGGGCGCCTGTAGTTCCAGCTACTCCGGAGGCTGAGGCAGGAGAATAGCTTGAACCCGGGAGGCGGAGCAATTAGCCGGGCGTGGTGGCGGGCGCCTGCACTCCCAGCTACCTGGGAGGCTGAGGCAGGAGAATGGCGAGAACTCAGAAGGCGAAGCTTGCAGTAAGCCAAGATCGTGCCACTGCACTCCAGCCTGGGCGACAGAGCAAGACTCCCTCTCAAAAAAAATAAATAAATAAAATAAACGGTTTAGGGACTACCCCTCTCCACACCTCAGACTCCTAGGCCGAACTCTCTTTCCTCCGCCTCCCCCTCACCCCGCCTCCCCCTCACCCCGCCTCCCCCTCACCCCGCCTCCCCACTTTCCCACCTGGCCGCACTCCCTTCCCCCGCCTCCCAATTACTCCGCTTCCTTCCCCGCCTCCCCCTTTTCCCACCTCCCCCATTCTGGCTGCTCTGACCAATCAATCTGGAGCCATCTTAGCTTTCCCCAAGTGCTCCTCCTACCCGGCTCAGCCAACGCCCACATACCTCAGGCTTAAACCAACTAGGGAACTTTCCACTACTTTCCCAAACAAGGACCTACTGGGCCTTGCAGGTTCACAATCAATCAGATCCCTAACTGGCTCACCTAGTCTCCCGACGACTTCGCTTCAGTTTGGAAACGTTCAGATTATGGAGCCCCGGCGAGTAGGTGGGGGCTCCCTCAATATAAAACTGCACAACCGGGGTCCCCCCACCCCCCACCCCGTCCCTCCCTGCAAATTTGAGCGGGCTCCAACTCAGTCATCTTTCTCCAAACTGGCCCATGAGGTCAGAGACAGTGTCTCCATTGTAACGTGCCCGGGCGGTGTCAACACAAAGGCCCCCACCCTCCCCTGGACGCGCGTCACCCGCTCCCCGCACCATCCCCCTGCCCATAACTGCACAAGCCCCCACAATTAAAAGCCCAGCGCGGACCCTTCCTGTCAATTAGGCGCTGAAGCGGAGGCGGCCAGCATCGCCATGGAGACCAACACCCTTCCCACCGCCACTCCCCCTTTCTCTCAGGGCCCCGGTCCCCTCCAGTGAATCCCAGAAGACTCTGGAGAGTTCTGAGCAGAGGGGCGGCACCTGGCCTCTGATTGGTCAAAGAGGCTGGAGGCAGGACGGCAGGCGAAACCCCTGGAATATTCCACGACCTGCTTCAAGCTCAGTGATTGGCTCAGAAGAAAGGAAAAGAAGGCAGGTCTCTCCGCCACGACTTCTCTCGGCAACGCCGAGAGCCAGCGGTCCGGCCAGCCAGCGTCAGGAGCTGCTGCGAGAAGGCCGCCGCGTTTCGACGTGGCTCCCGTTGTACAAACTTCCCAGAGCGAAGCCTGTAAAAGCTGCGAGCTTCTGGCGCCGTTGAGTTTCCGGCGTTCCGGAGGATATCTGTCGCGGGTCCCGCGTCCGCCGTTTCAGTCAAGAATCTCAGGCCGGAGCGGAGCAGCAGGGCACCGGCATGGCCGGCCGCGATCGGCATCGACCTGAGCACCACCTGCTCTCCTGTGTGGGGGTGTTCCAGCACAGCAAGGTGGAGATCATCGCCAACGACCAGAGCAACCACACACCCCCAGCTACGTGCTTTCACAGACACCAGGCTGATCGGGGGATGCGGCCAGAACCAGGTGGCGCTGAACCCGCAGAACGCCTGGCTCTGTGTGTTTGTTGGTGGCTTCAATTACAAGCCTGGGATTCGGCGACCCGGTGAATTACCTGATCGGACATATGAAGCACTGGCGCACCAGGTGATCATGCGGAGACAGCCAGGTGCAGAGTGAGCTACAAAAGGGGAGATGAGCATTCACCCTGAGATCTCGTCCATGGTGCTGACAAGATGAAGGAGATCGCGGCGTACCTGAGCTACCCGGTGACTGCAGTGATCACCGTGCGGCCTGCTTCAACTGACTCGCAGCGCCAGGCCGCAAGGATCGGGAGGCGTGTGAGGTCTCCAGCGTGCTGCGGATCATCCAGCGAGCCCACCGCATGGCCCGACCATCGCCCTCCTGGACGTAGAGCGAGGCAAGAGGCGCACGCGTGCTCATCTTTCAGCCTGAAGGCGGGAGGCACACCGGCCGTGTCCATCTGGCATTGACGGCGACATCTTGGTGAAAGCCCGGCCGGGGACACCCACCTGCCGGGTGAGAGGACTTTGACAACAGGCTGGTGAGACACTTCGTGGGAGTTCAGAAAACACAGGGCCATAGCCAGAGTCAGCGAGCCGTGAGGCGGCTGCGCACCGCTGCGAGAGGCCAGGACCCTGTCGTCCTTTGCAGGCCAGCCTGGAGATCGACTCTCCCTGTTTGAGACGCCGACTTCCCACCACGTCCATCACAGAGCGAGGTTGTGAGAGCTGTGCCGGACCACCATTCAGAAGAGCACCCTGGAGCCATTGGAGAAGGCTCTTGCTATCAAGCTGGACAAGGCCGAATCCCGACCTGGTCCCTGGTAGGGGCTCTGCTGTCCCCCAAGGTGCAGAAGCTGCAGGGACTTCTTCAGCGGGCGCAGCCTGAACAAACACATCCTTGTGAGGCTGTGGCCCCTCTCTGGGCGGCGGTGCAGGCGCCATCCTGATGGGGGACAAGTCCGAGAACGTGCAGGACCGCGCTGCTGGACGTAAGCTCCGCTTGTCGCTGGGGAGCTGGCTGGAAGCGGCCGGAGTGATGGCTGCCCTGATCAGCGCAACTCCACCATCCCCACCAGCAGGCGCAGATCTTCACCACCTCGGACAGCTGCCGGAGGTGCTGATCCAGGTGTCACGAGGGGCGGAAGGGCCGCTGACGAGGACAGCAATCTGCTGGGGCGACAGCTGACTGAAGCGGCATCCCCCTCCGGCGCCCCAGAGGCGGCTACGATCAAGTGACGCCGACCTCCGATACTGGCGCGGCATCCTGAGCGTCACTGACCCGCGGACAAGAGCACCGGCCCAAGGCCAACAAGATCACCATCACCGCTGACAAGGGCGCCTGAGCAAGGGAGGAGATCGGCGCGCGCGTAGATGCAGGAGGCAGAGAGAGGCCTCAAAGCGGAGGAGCGAGGTGCAGCGCGAGGAGGGTCTGTCAGCCGAACGCCCTGGAGTCCTTCAGCATGAAGGCGCAAAGGCGAGGTGTGGGGGCTCAAGGAGGCAAGATCGCGAGCCGACAAAGAAGAAGGTACTGGACAAGTGTCAGAGGTCATCCTGCGTGGCTGGATGCCACCTGGCAGGGCGAGGTTGCAGGCTGAGAGGGAAGGAGCTGGAGCAGGTGCTGCTTAACCCCATCAGCGGACTGTACCAAGTCTTGAGGTGGTCCTGGGCCCTGTGGCTGGAGATAAGTCCCCAAGGGAGGGTCAGGTCAGGCCCTGTGAGGAGTGGGTCAGAGCCTTCCCAAGGTCCCTGTTTTGTTTTGGCGCCTCAAGACTTTGTATTTCCTAATATTTCCGTTTGTCATTTCTTAGTTTTCCTGTGTTTACAATATTCAAGTTTTGTTGAAGTACTGAATGTAACTTTTTGGTAGAAATACTGAACTTGCTTTCAGTCTATGTATGAGATGAATTTATCTGCACCATCTTGCAGCCATTTCTTCTTTGTAATACACTGAACTCAAACTTGATTTTTTAAAGTTAGTTCCTTCAGTAAATAACTTTAAATTCAAGTGCCTTTTTCCTTTATTTGGGGTCAGTAGGGTCTGCATAGGTTATCTTTCTCCTGCGTCTAAAATGGAATGGCATTTTTCGTCAGTAAGAAGAGAACTTGCAGATATTAGAGAAGTGTGGCTACACTGTAATGCTGATCCATTTATGCCCAGACAAATGGTATGCCTCAATCAAAGCTTCTTAAATCTGGCGGGCGTGGTGGCTCCAAGCCTGTAATCCCACTAGCACTTTGGGAGGCCGGGAGTGCAGGTGGATCACTTGAGGTCGGGAGTTCAGACCAGCCTGGCCCGTGTGGTGAAACCCCTGTCTCTACTAAAAACACAAATTAGCGGGCATGGTGGTGCGTGCCTGTTGTCCCAGGGAGGCTGAGGCAGGAGAATCGCCCAGACCCCGGAAGCAGTAGCGGTGAGCCGAGATCACGCCATTGCACTCCTAGCCTGGGTCTCCACCTTCAAGACTCCACACACACACAAAAGAAAGTTAAAAAAAAGAGAAAGCTAGTAAAGCTTTGTGATGCACAGTTAGGTATTTAGCCTGAGAAGTGCAGAAGAAAAAAGTTTGCACCTGGAAGGTAGCTCAATTTGGTGTTTAGATTGGTCTCTCAAAAGAGGTGGGGTGGGGTGGGGATGTTTTTCAAAGTGGTCAGAGAGGATGCAGTTAGATGGGAGGCCAGTGCTCTCTGGTGGTACACTAATAAACGGACTTGATGTTTAATCTAGATTCAACACGGAATGGAAGGAGTGTCCTACATTTCAAAGTGAAAAAATGGCGAAGGGTATATACTTGGCTTGCTGAGTTATGCACATGTGCTTTAAGATTGTCATCTTTTCAGAAGATATTCTGGAGAGGTTTGGCTTATTTACTCTCTTATGACTGAAAGCATACTGGAAATCAAATGCTACATTCTGGCAGGACTATCACCCTACAGTTAGTACCCAGTGAAGAGCACCAGGCCTGGGAGACCTACATACAGACTTCCTCCCATGCACTTTCCGTGGGAATTAGCCCCATGCCCCAGCTGCTATTCGCATCCGAGTAATTCCACCTGTTGTTAGGCTTTTTACTACAATCTTTAGCTCCCAGGTGAGCCTTCATAAATTATCAAGCAGTGCTTGATGGCTCAACCTGTAATCCATCACTTGGGGGCCGAGGCAGGCCAGATCATCAGGTCAGGAGTTGAGACCAGCCTGAAAGCAGCATGGTGAGGATCCCCTCCCCTCCACTATCCTGCCTCCACTAAAGTAAAAGGTGGCATGATGGTGGGCACCTGCTGTTAACTATTTGGGAGGCTGAGGCAGGTGATCGGCCGGAGCTCAGAAGGCAGAGTTTCAGTGAGCCGAGATTGCAGCCCTTCCTCCAGTCTGGATGACCAGAGTGAAACTTCATATCAAATAAAATAAATTAACATCAAGCTTCAGTATGATGATCAATACCCGTATTACAGCACTTGGAGGCACAGTAGGTGGAGCATCTCAGGTCAAGAGTTTGAGCCAGCCTGGCCAGCAGGAGTGGAAAAAACCCACGTTCTATAAAAAAATGCAAAAAAGTGGCTGGGCGTGGTGGCGGGCACCTATAATCCCAGCAACTTGGGAGGCTGAGGCAGGGAGAATCGGCTTGAACCCGGGAGGCCAGATGTTGCAGTGAGCCAAGATTGTGCTATTGCATCCAGCCTGGAACAATGGCCAAACTCAATCTCATGAAAATAAATAAATAGTATCTATAAGGGCAATGAAAATGTTCTTTGATACAAGACATCCAAAGTTAACAGCACTATACTGCAAGGGTCAAGCTCGCAGCTAAAACTACTTCTTATTCCTGCCTCAGCCTGAACAAGGTGACCTGTAGCCTGGAAAAAAAAAGAAAAATCTAATTGTATATTATTTACATTAAGCACTTTATGAGCTTATGTGTACCTCAAAGCCCCATCAAACCATTCACTAAATGCTTGTGTAAGAGAAAATCAGTGTTATGGGAAATGGCATACAGAGTAGACCTTGCTTTGGAAGTTTGGAAATAGAAAATATAACTATATAAATGCTTAGGTTTTAGGCCAGCCTGGGGAACACCCTTATCTTATGGTAGTTAAACTGCTGAAGTACTGTGGACTCACAGCCACAATGTAAATCAATCTTT